CAACTAATCAAATACTAATCCTAACCCTACGTATATGATTTCATGAGCTTGTTAAGTCTCGTAAAATTGTCCGACTGATACTGTAATTTGCATGCGGCCTTAGCTCCCTGGAATATTTTGTTGAATCCATGATGATCAATCACATGATAGCTAATTACACGAATTTGAAAAAAAAACCACCAAATAAACAGATCTTTAAAATCATACTTCCTGTAAATGACTACCTGGAAAAACATGGTTTGATTTGAATTAGGAACCTTAAAAAATTATTGACTTGATAGAGTCAACTTGATTGTATCAAGTCAAGATCTTAATAAAGATCTTGTTCAACGAGCTTACGTACTATACATATCTGATATGTAACATCGTAAAAAAGAAACTTTCGTGATTATATATAATGGACAATTTAAATGAAGGTATTGATATCATTTTTCAATGTTAATAAGGTAATTTCATATTATCATAGAAAATCAGGCTGAATCAATTAGAATACTACTTAAAAAACCGTCAATTTTCACTTTCTTTCAGTGTATTTATTTGGCAGAAAATAATATTTAAACAGATTAAAGAACATAGTATTGATGAACTCAGCAAAAGAAAATACGATGGTGGTAGCAAGAACCATATCTAAATGAAGCAATTGAGTATTTACTTAGGAGGATGGCGAGAAGTCAAGTTCATCACGAATCTAAACAATGGTATTTTTTCAATATGTTAATATCGTCGAAATCATCCGAATTAATTAGAAAATCACTTGGAAAACCCAAAAGAAAATATAAAATTAACGCTCTCTACGATATAATCACATATAGTTTTTTTAAAAAATATCATTAATATAATACTGTAAATATTTTTTATATATATATTTTAATAGTTCTTATTAATTAGTAATATACAGAAAAGCTTGTATTTTTAGAATGTATATATTTTTTTCAAAGACATTTCTAGTATAGAAAAATATACTCATTTCACACAATCTATATAACTAACAAGCAAAGGATTTGTGTAATCCTTGCTTCTTTCAATGTATTTTATCTGCGCACCAAACAACTAAGAAACTTAATTCTAGTATAGTGAACTCTACGGAAAATGATCTTTTCTTAAAAAAAATTAATTTTTATTTCCAGGTAATCTCTTCAACTTTCCGAAAGGGACAAAGCGATACTTGGTATCTTACATGTTGTTGGAAAACCCTTTAAAGACATCAAAGAGAAGATTCTTCTACGCCACACGTCTCAAGAGAACGATTAAAATTTTTATCATACGGCTTTCCACAGAACACACTTTTTTTAAAAAAATTTCAACTGTGGAGAGCAAAATTATTTTTATATTTATATATATTACGTGCAGAATAAGTGATGTCGAAATCAGCAAAAGTGTTGAATAACAGACAAATATTGAATAACCTGACATCAGAATTGAATTCCCAAGTCGTTAATGAATTAAAGAACAGTGTTTCTATTTCATGAGATATATATTTTTCCTCACATTCATACCGTGAGTTTCTGTCAAAATAAAGAATACATCGCAAAAATGAGCAAGATATTGAAAAAAAAAAAAAATTGATCAAAATATGAAGAAGGATACTATGAAAACGAAAATATGGTGAAAAATGTAAGAAAGAGATCAAACAACCGGACCCAACTGGCTATTAGGGCGAAAAGAAGGTCCGAAAATTTATATCTGAGGTTATGAATTCGAAGACAGGGATTAGTAAAAAAAAAAAAAAACTTTTACGAATCAGCCAATTTATTATGTAATGAAATTGAAAGGCAAGATGGGTTTTATGGAACATATGGGCTTTTATTGTCATGTTTGAACGTTTGGAATATAAGACTTGGAACATGAGACGCGAATCATTAAAATCCACAGAGTTAGATCTTCATCTGATAATTTTGTAAACGAACAACAATATGAAGAAGGATTTTTTAAAACATAAAAAAGGTAAAGTAGATGAACATGACCCAAAATCGTAAAAATTGGGGATGGTCCAGATTATCATATCACCTTTAGATCCATTCGTTACCAACAAAGAAGAACAAAATTACCTCTATGGCTAATAAGCTAGAAAAAACAATACCTTTCAACTGCAAATATAATATAATGTTAAAAAGTTCTCTGTGTTTATTAAGATAGTAAAGCTTATGGCTTGATCGGTAATCATTTATATATTTATAAGGATACTACAATAGCATGGTGGATTCATTCACTCTTCCTACAAATACTGAAAAATCTGGAGGTTTTACCGGGCTGGTATCGTTTGATGGAGCCTTGATTCTTTTCGAATGTGATGCAGGTGTTGCAGTCCATCCGTTACTGTACGTCTTTACCATACTTTGTGATACGTTTAATTTTACTCAAATAGTCAACTAATAAACCACTCGAAGATCAATTTTCGGTTCTTCGTTTTACCCATGTTTTTTCAAAGCTTGTTACCATAATTTTTAATTTTTAATAAAAATGTTATTATAAAAAAATTTTTTTAAAAAAAATTTCAATAAAAATTATATCAATAATTTGCATTAATTCAATTTTATTTTAATTGCTCGTAAACTTAATTAAATTAATCCCGACTTTAAAAACTATTATTAAATAAAAAAAAAGAAAAAAAAAAAAAGCATTTGGTTCAACAATAAGGCAAGCGTTGCATAAAAAATTTAACTCCCGCATTTATCATGTGCCAAATTCGTTTTTTAACGCATTAATTCCTTTTCTATCAAACAAAGGATTACCTCATTTTTTACGATTGTTTAAAAATCGTTTAATTTTTTCGTAAATTGGTGTGTTACCAGGATTTTTTTTTTTTTTTTAAAAAAAAAAAAAACCCTACAATAAAACAATGTTTTTGCAATGGATTTCCGGGTTAAGACTTCTCGATCATAATCCTGGTATAGATCAATAATTTAAATTTATAATTTAAAAAAAATTTTTAATATATATATATTTTTTATTATTATTATTTTCAAAATTTTCTTTCTTTGTGTTTAGATTCTGATCATGCTAAATAACATTACATGTGATTGTAATTTCCTTTCTTTGGTAGAAAGCAATGTTCTGGCTAAATTTCCTTTAAATGTTCGAAAGGTACTTATATCTGAGATAACCCAAACTTTACTCCAAGCACATGATCCAAATCTTTTATCATCGATCACTCACGTTAAATGGGTTATGGAAGCTATTGGTCAAGGATTTGCTTTACCTTTAGAAGAAATGACTACTATTACCGCCAATTCAAAAGAATTATATTCTCAATGGTTATTTGAACCAAATTCTAGACCTGCCGCTATTAGAAATGCTACTGGTCAACAGGAAGAACAAGAATTTTGGCAGGTTCGAAATTTTTATTCTTATTTCTTATTCCTTATTTATTATACATTATTTATGTACATTATTTATATAAATTATTTATATACATTATTTATATGCATAGTTATTATTTAAGTTTATATAAATTATATATAAATTATATATAAATTATATACCAAAATTACTAAAATTACTAAAATTACAAAAAATATTCTTTTTTTTATTTCTTAGATAATATTTCATCATTATTCTTTATTATTTCAACCTCGTTATCAAACTACTCCTTCTAATACTTCAACACCTACAACTCCGGGATTTCCTTCCAGTAGTAATCAAATAACAACAAATTGTGCACATTTACAAAATCATATTGAATTATGTAAAGGTGTATTAATTGTTTTAACTATGGCTGGTCGTACTTTAGGTCCTCAATTTTCTGAAGAAACTTGGCTTGTACTTTTAAAGGTTGTATTAGGAATAACTGATTGTTTACTTCATGAACCTATTTCTACTATGACTTCTTCTGATTTAAATATGGATAAAAAAATTGCTATGATTATGGCTGATGATTTATGTGAACATTTATTAAGAGTACTTTTTGAATTATGGTTAAGATCAAGAATTCGTAAAGTTGAAATGTGGGATATTTTTAAAAAATGTTTTAATCAATGGACTCATAGGCATCAAGCTATTTTACAATGGAATGCTACTACTTTGGCTTTAACTCAACGTGTTGTTAGATTATTATATGGTCCAAAAGAAGGTGCTGATATGGTTAACGTTTCTGTTGGTGGTTATAATGTTGGATTAGATCTTCCAACTGATTTTGTATATTTTGCTTGGCATCGAATGGTTTATTTAATAAATAATCCATGTACCTTACCTTCTTCTAATTTTTCTTCGGCAATTTCGGGAATTGGTAAAATTATTGAAGCTTTTCAATTAATTGGTCATCAAAATTTTCATAAATTTTCTCAACAAGATCTTCATCAAGATACTGGATGCCCTTTTTTTGCTATACCTGATGGAAATACTATTTTAAATATGTTTGGTCCTTGGCTATTTCAATCTTGTATGATGAGTCGACCTGATGCCGGTACTCAACTTGGTCGAGCTGCTGCTTTTGGTATTCTTTGTAGAATATTTTGTTTACCTCAGAAACGTGAAAAATTTTTACGAAATTATGTTACACAATTTTACCTTGCTTTAATTGAAGGTTTACGTGTTGATAGTTGTTTAGCTACAATATTAATGAATACAACTTCACTATTCGCTACTGATTTAGAAGGTGTAAGAATGATGGTACCTGATTTTGTCGTTGGAATTAGAATGGTTTTACCAAAATTGGCTCCAGGATTTAAAATTGATGTTCCATTAGAAGATTTAAGACTCGCAGCAATAAGAGTTGCTAGTACTATTATGTGTTTACCAAATCATTTTGAAAAAGTACCTATGAGAGATAATTGGAATTTTGGAATGCATCAAAATGGTGATAAACTTGTTAGTAATGATGATGAAATTATGGTTAACGAACTTGTAAGTTAATTATTTTTCTTTTCAATTATTATTATTTTTTTTTTTATGACGATAACCTTAATTTTTTTCTGATAGATGCGTGTGCTATATTCTGAAGATGAGGGTGATATATCTAAAAAAGAAAAGAAACCTGAACCTTTTACGGCTGTAAGCTTTGATTATTGATTTGTTGATGATTGATTTTTTGATTATTGTTTTTTTAATTATTATTTTAGCTGCTATTTCTTCATAATAATATCTTCGTTTATATGGATTTTTTTAGCTAAAGTTTTACATACTGGAACTTCTCCTTAAATCATTAAAAACGGAAAAATCAACTTATAATCTTCGATATCTTCTTCATTTAATAAATGTTTACGTGGTTGAAGATGTAGCGTTTTGTCCTGGATTAGTTAGTCTTGTAGTAAAATCTATTCAAGAAAAGGTTTGTAATTTACCAAAGAGTGTGTAAATTTTTGGTTCAT